ATACACACACACACACACACACACATAAAAGAAAGGAAAGCTTTTAAAGAAATGTTCTGTATGGCAAGTGGCTAGGTCTCCAATGCCTGCAGGGCATTTTTGTGGGAAAGCTTAGAAAGCCTGGCTCTACTCAACAACCTCCAGTGGCCTCCTCATTGCTACAGGGTCAGTGGAAACTTCTTCCTGAGCATCCACATGGCTTCAGGACTGGTCCCAGGCCATCGGTCTCAGCATTCATTTTACTTGCTTCCTATTCTCTAACAGTTAGAGTGAGTTTTTTGTGTGTGTTTGAATGAATCTTTATAAAACAAATTGATTTTTCCATTCAATGACTTACGCATATTTTGTTTTATGATCTTAATGACAATACCCATGAGTTAATCACACTCTTTCCACTTTCAGTAATTCCCCTTTTCTTTAATCCTTCTATCCTCTTCCTTCTGGCCTTCCTGTTAGCCTGGGTAGATACTGCTCCTTTGATCTTAAATAGCTGGTTATTCTAAGGAGTGAGTGCTTCCCTGGCTGAAGTCAGTCTATTGTTTGGCTAAAAGTTGAGTCAGTATACATTATTTACCCCTCTTTCTTAGGCTCCCCACATCCCAGTCTCAGTCCTGTTTTACAACAGTGGCCCTATGCAGTATTTGTCCTTTTGTGACTGATATATTTTACTCAGCATAATGTCCTCCAAGGTTATTCATTTTGTGTAATATTTCATGAATTCCTTATTTTTCAAAGCAGCATAGTATTCCATTGTGTAAATATACCACAGCTTCTCTATTAATTCATTTTTTGATGGGCACTTGGGTTGTTTCCAACTCTTTGCTATTGTGAGCAAAGCCACAATAAACATGGGTGTGCATATAAAAAAGCCATAAAATCAAATATAAAAAAAAATTTGAGTCACAGGGGTGAGTTTTGCTGGAAGTTCAAAGGGTGACTAACCGCTATAATCTTGAGGGTTCTAAGGTCCCTATAGGACCAGTAAACCTAACTATACAAAATTTTCCCAAATAATCTGTATCTGTAGACATTGTATCGAGAGCATGGTGCTGTGCTGTGTGCACCGGTGTTGTGGCAGTTTTTGGACGTAAAGGACTCCTCTGCCTCCAGGAGCCAGGCCAGCCAGGCTTGGCCTAGGGGTTAAGGCAGCAGGCGGCTCCAAGCCGAAAAGGGGAAGAGGGGAGAGGAGGCAGCCCTTGGCCCGTCTTTCATTGGTTTTGTTCAGACATTCTTCTAGGTCGTATAGCCCTGGTGTACAACTTGCCGTACCGCGGTCACTTGTGGTTGCTGTGAGGCTAAGCACTGTGACACTGATGTGTCAATGCGTTAATGGTTGGCTACCCAATGTGGACAGAGAGTGCAGACAGAGATTGGGGTGGAGCTCCCCGAGTAAAACAAGCTTGGAAGGAGGAGTGGCATCCAATTCCATAACAGCTTGCCTCTGGAAACCCTATGAACCTGGAGAGAGGATGAAAGGCACCCAGTCAAGGACTCTCCTTCATAGGGTCGCCATGAGTCGCCTATGACTCGACGGCACTTAACAGCAACTACATACTCTGTTGTGCCTATATATTTGCTCATTTTTCTCTCCACTAGATATTAACTTCTCCAGGAAAAAAATTTTTTTTGTATCTGCTTTTGAATTTATATGATGCTTGTTACCAAATATGCTCTGAATGAATGTTGTTGTCTGGTGCTGTTAAATGTGATTCACTGTGACCCTGTGAACAACAGCTCTGAACCCTGTCATATCCTGTGCCATCCTCATTATCTCTGCCACACTAGAGTTCATTGTTACAGTCACTGTCAATCACGGTATCTTTTTCCAAGGACTAGCCCCCCAACAACCTGCCCAAAGTATGAGAGACGAAGTTTCACCATCCTTCCCTCTAAGGAACATCTTGGCTGAACTCTCGCCAAGACATATTTGTTCTCTTGGCAGTCCAAGGGAGATTTAGTGCTCTTCTCCAGAATCACAACTCAAAGGAATTGATTCTTCTGTCATCTTTATCCACTGTACAACTCTCATATGCATAGCAAGTAATCGAAAAGACCATAATCAGGCATATCTTTGTCTTTAAATTGGACACCCTTACTCTTCCACACTTTGGAGAGGTCCCTGGTTGCAGATTTTCCAAATCAACACATCTTTTGATTTCCTGACTGCTGGTGCTAACATTGTTGATTACAGATCCATGTAAGATGAAATCATTGGACTGAACCAATTAATTTCTCATAGAAACAAGCAAGTTCTCATGGGAAGCTGATCTGAAAGCATACATTGATTCATTCATTCAACTCCTAAGCATCTAAAGCTAGCTTCTATTGAGGTGTCTCTGGGTGGAGCAAATGGTTAAGTGCTGAACTACTCATTGACAAGTTGGCTCAGATCCACTCACTCAGAGGTGACTCAAAAGACAGGTCTGGTGATTTGTTCCCCAAAATTCACAGTCTTTAACACTCTATGGAGCAGTTTACCCTGCATGCACGTGGTCACTGAAACAGCATGTACTATTGAACCAATGGAACTAGCCTCTTCTTCCCTTATAAATCTTACAGCCACTGGAAGAAGACTCATAGAAAGAATAATAAAGCAACAAAAACTTTATTGTAAACCATGCTAAATGCTATAAAGGGAAAGCATAGGAACCAAATTTTAAAAAAATTCTGACTTTAACTATATATACTTTGACTTCTTAATACCTCACATAAATTGCATTGTTTGATTTATAAGGAAATTCTTAATTTTTAACTTTTCCTTTAAAATCAAGAAAGGTGTGTGTCAGGGATGTATTTTGTCTCCATAGCTATTCAATCCATATGCTGAACAATACTTTGAGAAGTTGGACTCTATGAAGAAAAATGTGGCATCAGGATAAGAGGAAGACTCATAAACAACCCGTATCATACTGATAACACAACATTGCTTGAAGAAAGTGAGGAGGATTTGAAATACTTGATATAGAAGATAAAAGACTACAAGCCTTCAATATGGATTACATCTCAACATCAAGAAAACCAAAATCCTCACGATGGGTTGATAGGCAACACTATGATAGATGGAGGAAAGATTGCAATTGTCAACAGTCATCTTACTTGGATGCACAATCAATACCTTTGACATCATCAGTCAAGAAACCAAAAGATGGATGGCGTTGGGAAAGTCTGCTCTAAGGGATTTCTCCAAAATACTGATGAGCAATGATGCCAGTTTGAAGACTCAGGTGTGCTTGATTCAAGCCATGGTCTTTACAATCATTTGTTATACATCTGAGAGCTGGACTAAAAATAAGGATGACAGAAGAAAAATTGATGTCTTTGAGCTGTTGTATGAGAGAAGAGCACTGAATATCTCATGAAATACCAAACAGAAATGTCATGGAAAAGGTGCAACCAGAATGTTCCTTAGAGGCAAGGATGGCAAAGCTTCATCTCATATACTTTGGCCATGTTGCTAGGTAAGGTAGAGAGTCAGTGAAAGAGAGGAATACCTTCAACGAGAGGGACTGACACAGTAACTGCAGCAATGGGTTAGTATGTCAGAGATGCTGAGGATGGCACAGGATAGGGAAGGGTTTAGATCTGTTGTTCATAGGGCTGTGATAAGCCTTACATGACTGATCACATAATAACCAGTAATAACAACTTTTAAAATTCACACTCTTTGAATTGTAATTTAGGCTGCCTCAACTGTTGGGATAATGACTTGTCCACACTGGTAGATAAGACTTGGGAAAAGGAGGGAGAGGTTGGGACTGGTAATCTCTTCCACATTTCTAAACCAGAACTAAACATTTCCAGAAAGAAAACTGTGGTCCCAGATGACTTCTATTAGGAAGAAATCAATACTAATTCTATACAAACTCGTTTCAGAGAATGGACACGGGAGGCATAATTTCCAATACACTTTATGAGTGATACCTGGATCATGAAAACCAGGTAAAGATATTACACACACACCCCCATACAGACCAATCTCTCATAGATAAAAATGCAATCATCCTTAACATAATTGCTATTGATGTTGTTATGTGCCCTTGAGTGAGAACCCACTCCTAGCTGCTCTTCCGTGGGTTTTCAGAGGCAGTAAATCACACAGGAGTAGGGTGACCACCTTTCTTCTATGGAGCAGCTGGTAGATTTGAACTGCCTGCCTTTGGGTTGGCAACACAAGTCCTTATCCACGACTCCACCAGAGCTCTCTTATGTAATTAAATCACATAATAAGTATTTCCTTTCCACCAAAATACAAATTTCTTAGTAGAAGGTTAACTGAGCAAGATGTGTGTAAAAGTTCAAAAGGGGGAAGGGAATAGGAGAAGAGGTGGAGGGAGAAAGGGGTGATAAAAGGAGAAGGAGAGAAATCACTAGGCTTTCTGGCAGAGGTTAATGGACGGGTGAGGGTGTGAAGGAATAGGAGCCAATGAGGACTTGAACAGATGGGGTGTGATAGGCCTGGATCAATAGTGATTAATGATGTAAAACACAATGCATATGAGTGATTGTAGGAAGTACAAGGTACATGAACAAAACACAAAGTAGATGAAAGACAGTATAAAACAAAATGCACATGCATAAAATAGAACGTATATGCATAATTGTATGCAAACCAATAAAAATATGAGAAGGGAAAAAATTGTTTTGGGTTTGTTTTTTTTTTTCTTCTCCCCAATGCTCCAGGCCTGGAATACTAGAGAAATAAATATAACCTTGAGAGCCAAGGATTGAATTTCATCTCCTGCTCTGGACAATTTGAAAACCTCTAAACCACAGAGAAGACCCCGCCCTCACTCAGAAAAGAGCAAGTGAGGGCAGGACTGAGTTGGCTCCTCCCTTCCTTGGAACGCAGATGGAGAAAACAGAGTAAAAGTGTTCAAGGAGAAAGGAGGCAAAGAAAATGTTAAGAGTAAGGCAGAGAACCCAGAGAGTCTTCACCTCTGAGCAGTTGGAAATCCGGCCTCACAGAAGCGTCCAGGGTGAAAGGTCTCCGGAGGCCTCACATGGGGCTTCCTCTGAGCACACGTCTTCCTGACTCATGACCGTGAGGCCTCCAGGAACTCCACTGAGCACCAGGAACTTGTGCAGGGACTCTGACTCAGGAACCTTGTCTTGCCCCATAGCCACCCCATGTGTGTCAGGGTAGAAGTGTGCAACTTAGAGTTTCAATAGTCCGTGCTTACAATAAACCAGGATTTCTGCCCCACTCTCACCCCAGGGGTGTCAGGATGGCCTCAACCTTTAACATTTGATTAAAGGCCCACCTGTTAACCCTTTACATTATTCAGGGACTTCATGAGCAGGGTTCGGCAGGAAAAAAAAAAAAAGAAGAAAAGGATTAATTATCTACAATTCAAACATTAAGGGAAAAAATATTGTAACACACTTGATAAATAGTGCCTCCTAGTAGACAAAAAGTGATGCCACCAAGCCAAGGGGGGGGGTGATTTTAATCCACGGCCCTCAGGCCTGGTTTTAATTGTTTTTGGTCAAACATTCTTCTAGGTGGTATAGCACTGGTCTGTCCATTTGCTGTACAGAGGTAACTAACTGGTGGTTGCTGTGATGCTAAACACTGTGACACTGATGTGTCAAATGTGATAATGGTTACCCATGGCGGACAGTGGTGGATCTTCCCTATTAAAACAAGCTTGGAAGCAGGAGTGGCATCCACTTCCAAAATAACTTGCTTCTGGAAACTACGAACATAGAGAAAGGATGAAAGTTGTGCAAGTGTTCAGGACTTTAGTTCATAGCATCACTATAAGTTGTCTACAACTCAATGGCACTTAACAACAAGAAGTAATTCAAGAGAGAAAATCACCTTAATCTTGTTCCTTTGGCACAGATCATTACACTCTCTATATGTAGATATATAAACTACCTGTCTAGGGAGCTCTGGTGACCTAGTGAGTAAGGAGTTGTGCTGCCAACCCAAAGGCAGGTGATTCGAATCCAGCAGCTGCTCTATGGGAGAATGTTGGGCAGTCTCTTCCCATGAAATTTATAGGCTCTGAAAACCTGCTGGGAGGGTGTTATGAGTGAGTTTCAGCTCCACAGCAATGAGTTTTGAGTATCTATCTATCAATCAATCAATCAATCATCTATGTTTTATACGTTGTTGTTGTGTACCATCGAGTAGCAACTGGCCCATAGCTGACCCTCTGGTGGGTTTTCAGAGGCAGTTTATCGCACAGGAGGAGACTGCCCATCCTTTTCCCACAGAGCAGCTGGTGACCTCAAACCGTGTGCCTTCGGGATTGCAACACAGCTTCTTTCCACTAGGCCACTATATATTTTGGGAAAAAAAAATTAAAAAAAAGAAAATTATTTTAATATTTATTTGTTTATTTATTTGCTCCCTCACCCTCAAGACATCCAGTTTCATTTTACTTGGTTGGGTTCACACCCATGAAAGAAACAGTCAAGAAATAAAAAAGATGCGTTGCTTTGGGCATATCTGCTGGCAAAGGCTTCTTTAAAGGGCTAAAGAACAAAGATGTCACTTTCAAGACTAAGGTGTGCCTGACTCAAGCCATAGTATTTTCCATTGCTTCATATGAACCTCAAAGTTGTACAATGAATAAGGAATAAAGAAGATCCTCAATCAGGTGGATTGACACAGTGACTGCCACAATGGGCTCTCATGTGTCAGGAGGTATGAGAACGGAACAGGATAGGACAGGGTTCAGATGTGCTGTTCATAGTGTCACTATGGGTTGCACACAACTCAATGACATCTTACAACAAGAACTGATGCTTGTGACTTTTTGAATTGTGGTGTTGGCAAAGACTGTTAAATAGCCCATGGGCTAACAAAAGAACAAACAAATTTGTCTTGGAGAAGTACATGCTACTCCATAGAGGAAAAGATGTTAAAACTTGTTCCCAAATACTCTGGTCATGTTGTTAAGAGGGTCAGAAAAAGATATATGCTGGGGAAGGAAAAGGGGTCAGGGAGAGAGAGGAAGACCCTCAGGGAGATGGATTGACACAGTGACTGAAACAATAGGTGTCAGCATGGTAGAAGTTGTTAGGATGGCGTAGGATAGTACAAGATATCAATCTAGTGTCCACAGGGTCACTAAGAGTCCTTGTTGATCTGACGGATGGCATCTTACAATAAACAATGAATGCCTTCACCCACATGAGAAGCTGCTCCCCTCTGCCTGTCACATACCCTGTGGAATCAGTACAATTCCTATGTCTTGCACACAAAAAAAACCAAAACAAACCAACCCCACAAAAACAACAAAAACCAAAAAAACAGGAATGTAAAGCAAACATAAAGATGATGAACATTGAATTGTTGAAAATGATTGGCAAAAAAGATAGTTTATGAGTCAGAAAAAAGAGTAAACAAAGGTAATATCATGATGCCCATGTGCATATACTATTCACACAAAGTGGAGAAAGAGTTGTAAGACCTGGTATAACCTTTGTTTTTCTTTCCCAAGTGGACTTTAAAAATAATACACATCATTCCAAAATAGCATTTAAATGGCCCTTTCTCCTTCATCCAAAATAGTTCAACCATTTAGCTTCAGACCTTTGTTCTCCTCTGTAGACATTTCACTTGCCCAGTCAGTTTCATTAAGAAATATCTCCCGGCAGCCACAGAGGTTAGAAAAGAAATGTAGAAAAGAATATTTTGAGTCTTTGAAGAGTAAAATAAAACCAAACAACAATAACAACAACAACAACAGCAGGAAGCTCCAAATCAATCTTTCTTCAGTTCTTAAAACATAATGTTTAAAAATACAGGGAGTTAAGGGATATTGAATTTCTGTGTTGGGTGATGAAAAAAATCTGGAAACGGATGTGGCGATGGTTGCACAATGTAGTAACTGTATTTAATATCAGTGAATTATACATGTAAAAATGCCTGAAAAGGCAAATGTTTCAATATTTATATTTTGCCAAAATAAAACAAACCAAAAGAAAATCACTGGGTGGAGGCAAGTAGTAACCTGAGTGGAGGAAGGCTTAGTTGGAATTTTCACTCTGCTGTCTAAACCTAGTGTTACCATCTGTTAAATGGGCATAATAGTAGTACTTATTTCACAGGGTTGTTGGAAGGTTTAGACACTACTATGCTTGTTTTAAACGTTTAGCAGATGTTGTTAGAAGCTGCCGAGTCAACTACTACTTATAGGGATTCTATGAACAGAGCAAAAAAACAATGTTTGGTTCAAAACTAGGAAGGGTGTGCACCAGTGTTGTGTTTATCTCCAAACCTTTTCAATCTATACGTAGAACAGATTATTCAGGAGGCTGGGCTCTTTGAGGAGAAACGTTATATCAGGATTGGAGGAAGACTCATCAATGTTATGAGTTAATGTCAGTGTTATGCAGATGACACACCTTGCTTGCTGAAATTGAGGAGGACCTGATGTGCTTGCTGCAGAAGGTCAAGGACTGCAGCCTTCAATATTGATTGAAGCTCAACAACAAGAAAACAAAAATTCTCAGGGAGCTCTGGTGGCTTAGTGGCAAGAAGCTGAACTGCAATGCCAGAGGTACATGGTTTTAATCCACCAGACGCTCTTCTGGAGAAGGAGGCACAATCTCCTCCTATACCAGTCAGATCTGATTTGACAGTACACACACACAAAAATAATAAAATTTAAAAAACCCAACAAAACAAAGATT